ATTATATATGGAACTAAAAATAACAAACTCATGGAAACAGAGAATAGAATGATGGTCACCAGGGTCTGGGGTTAGAGGGTGTAATGGGTGATGTTGGGTAAAGAATGCAAAATCTCAGTTGGACAGAAAGATCAGGTTCAAGAGAACTACTGTACAATATGGGAACTGTAGTTAATCGCAGTGGGTTGTATATTGGACAATTGCTAAAAGAGCAGATTTTGTGTTCTCACCACAACAAAATAATAAATATATAAGGTAATAGATGTTAATTAGTTTGACTTTGCCATTCACAATGTATACATATATCAAAATATGACATTGTACATGATAGTATATTCAGTTTTTATTTGTCAATTTGAAAATTCATCATTATCATATCTGCCCCAAATATTCTACCAAGTTGTTGTGAAGATCATAAAAAAGCATGTGACTTACAAATAATTAAATGACATGCAAATGTAAATAATCATTATTGAAAAATATATTTAAGAACTCACTTTATGGGCAAAAGATATGAATAGACACTTCTCAAAAGAAGACATACGAGCAGCCAACAGATATATGAAAACAATGCTCAGCCTCACTATTCATCAAAGAAATGCAAATTTAAACCACACTGAGATACCACCTAACTCCAGTCAGGATGGCCATCATCAACACCTCAAAAAACGATAGACGCTGGAGAGGATGCGAGGAAAAGGGAACACTTCTACACTGTTGGTGGGAGTGGAAACTAGTACAACTTCTGTGAAAAACGGTTTGGCAATTCCTAAAAGATCAAAAAATCAACCTCCTATACGACCCTGCAATCCCCCTACTGTGAATATACCCAGAGGAACTCAAATCACTCTATGAAAAAGGTACCTGCACACATATGTTTATTGCAGCATTGTTCACAATAAGCAAAAACATGGAACCAACCATGCTGCCTGTAGAAAAAGGACTGGACTTTTAAAATGTGGTACATATACATGATGGAATACAGCACAACCATAAAGGAAGACAAAATTTGAACTCAACAGCAATTTAGATGGACTTAGAGTCTATAATACTAAGTTATCTATCTCAGAAACAAAGAACTGAGTATCACATGTTCTCACTCATAAGCGGACTTTGAACAATTATGTAATACTATAAGAAAAGGATTGACAGTAGTGGGAATTTGCTGGTGGAGGGAGGGGCACACCTCATCAACAAGGGTATCTGCAGAATGAACATTCGTATACCTAACCCTAAATTGTACCCCACATCTTTAAAAATTTTTGTAAAAAATTTTTTTAAAGAACTCACTTCAACCTAGGCAGTTAAATATAATACTTTTCATCTAAAGAAATGATTCTTTGACTTAATAAAAACATTGATAATGAAAGAAAAAGCAAAACTTTATGAAGTAAAAAGAGGTAAAATGACATGATCACCTATGTAGAAAATCCGATGGAATTAACAGAACAAACTACTAGAAGTAAAAAAAGTGAATTTAGCAGTGTTGCAGGGTAGTAGGTGAATATATATGAATCAATTGTATTTCTGCATATTAGCAACAAACAATAGAAAATATTTAAATATCATTTGTAATCGCATCAAAATGTGAAATACTTAAGGTTAAATTTGACAAAAGATATGCAAGACTTTATACTGAAGACTATAAAATTGCTCAGAGATGTTAAAGAAGGTATTAATAAATGGAGTTATACATCTGTTCACAAGTCAGAAGACTTACTATTGTTAACATGCCAACTCTCCCAAAATTGATCTGTAGAATTACCACAATCTCCATCAACATCTCAGACTTTTTTTTTTAGAAATTGGCAAGCTGATTCTGAACTCCATATAGAAATGCAAAGGACTTAAAAGAGCCACAGTGACTTTGATAAAAAAAGAAAGCTGGAAGGCTAGCACTACCTGATTTAGAAACATATTGTAAAGTCACAGTACTTAAGATAATACAGTATTGGCTTAAAAATAGACAAATAGTTCCATGGAACAGAAAAAAAAAAGTTTAGAAATAAGCCCACATGCATGTGATCAACTGATTTTTGATGTAAGTTCAAAGGCAATTCAGTGGAGAAAGAATAGTCTTTTCAACAAAAGACACTGGAACAACTAAACTGAACATCTATATCTATACTGAATATTTATCTATACCTCGATCCATACCTCACAGGACATAAAAAATTGATGCAAAATAGATCATAGACTTAAATGTGAAACTATAAACTTTTATAAGAAAACTTTTATGAGAAAGTTTTGTGATTTTGGTTTGGGCAAGTATTTCTTATACATGACACCAAAAGCATGATCCAAAAAGAAGAAAAAAATGATATAAATTTGACTTCATAAAATTTAAAGCTGTTCAGAGAATGAAAAGATAAGCCATGTTCTGGGAGAAAATAACTACAAAGCATATATCTGATAAAATATGTGTACCCAAAAGATACAAGAAACTTTCAAAAGCTAATAATAAGAAAACAAACAACCTGATAAAGAAAGGGGCAAAAGATTTGAACAAACACTTCACCAAAGAAGAGATGGGGATGGGGGGGGGGAATCACATGATTAAGATGCCAAACATCATTTGTCATTAGAGAAATGCAGATTAAATTCACAATAAGGTACCACTACATATCCACTACAACGACTTTAATTATAAAGAGTAACCATACCAAAGACTGGCAGGGATGTGTAGCAGCTAGAACTCAAATACACTGCCAGTGGGAATGTGAATTGGTACAACCACTTTGGAAAACAATTCAGCAATTTCTTTAAAAGTTAAGCATTATTTACTATCTGACCCAGCAACCATACTCGTTTTTTTTTTAAGTTTACATCCTTGCAAAGACTGATTTGCAAATGTTCATAGCAGCTTCATTCCAATCAAAAACTAGAATCAACCCAAATATCCATCCACTGGTGAACAGATCAACACATTGTGGTGTGTCCATACTCAGTAATACAAAGGAATGAATTATTGATATACACATCATGGATTGAATCTCAAAACCATTAAACTGACCAAAAGAAGCCAGAGGAAAGAATGCATACTATGTGTACCATGTGTTTAAACCTCTAGAAAATGCAAGCTAAAATCTATAGCAAAAGAAGGCAGATTGGTAGTCACCTGGGAAGAGGAACCAGAGGAAGGGATTAATCAGATTTCAAGGAAACTCTTGGGGGTGCTAGATTTGTTCCTTATGTTGATTGTGATCATGGTGTCCTGGATGTGTACTTATGTCAAAACATATCAAATTGTGTACTCTAAATATGATTTATGTATGTCAGTTGCACCTCAATAAAGCTGTTGAAATTTGTAAATACATCAAAAGGGAGAAAGAAAAAGTGAAATGACTCCAAGAAAGGCTTACATGAATGGCTCTCTTCTGTGGACCTCTGAGTGTGATCTTGAACTTTGACTCTTCATTCCCTGGAATGTAGACAGTTGTGTAAAGGACTGCTTATTTGTTTGTTAATCGGCACCCCTGCTAAACTGGTTTCACATATACCTCACCTTAGACATCTCTTAGGTAGCTAGCGTTTACCTCTCTTTTTCATAATATTTGCCTGAATTTTAATGGGGGTGACAAATATCTCCTTAGACCTTACTAGCATTGCTCGTCAGCATCTGTAAATTTAGAAGACATTCTTTCTCCAAGAAAGTCTTTGCTGACTCAGTGTTTGGGAATCTCAAATGCTGTATCCTGAAAACGCTGGGGAATTGGAGCATGCCTAACCATCCTGACAATGCATAATCATGTCTTCTCTTATTATGTCCTTAGTCTGCTGCATTTTTATAAATATTACATAAACAAAGTTCAATCCCTTGGGTTTTAGAGGGAAATAGTCCTTCCAGGACAGGGAAATAAAAAACCTAATTCATTTCCAAGTATTTTTAGACAAAGGCATTTCCCCCTGATAATCTGAGAACTGGTGGTTATGGAAGGAAATATGGAGTTTGCAGGGTACATTTGGGGGCCAAAGCAGGATGAGATGTCCTCAAAGATTCCACACTGGTTTACAGTTCTGTCACTTGCCAGTGATAAGGACCCACATTTTAGCTCTGGCTTCACCACTAATTTATAGAGTCCCAATTGACAAGTTAAGTCACCTCGCTAAACCTGAGTTTCCTCATTTGTTAAAGAAAGATGACACAATGTAATTAAAAATGCCTGTGCATAAACAACATGACTTTGACGCTGGCTTTGGGATCTGAGTGGGGGAGAGTGCTGACTCTTCTTGTATGGGACCATAGCGAGGGCACAAGTGTGGCAGGCTCTCAGCGGGGCCACACCCAGGAGCACCCCCAGTGAGAAGTGGCAGACACCCACGCCCCAAGAGGCATCCTCTCACTGACTCACACGTGTCTGTGGTTCCAGCCAAGCCGGAGGTCCATACAAATCCCCTCCTAATTGCCAGGCCTGTGCTCACCACTTTTGTCTATACCATCTCAATTCGCAAACTGACAAATCTCTCATGGGTAAAGCTTCAAAGATTTGCTTTGAATAGAGACTGGAGGAAGCCCCCGTAGGGAAAGGAACTTGGAGACGCCTTCCCACGCACTCCCCAGGCTTCTGCTCAGATGTCCCCTCCTCTATGAGGCTTCCCTGACTAGCCCCGTAGGAATGAGTCACCTCTCAGTATTTCCTGCTGCCGAATCCTGACTTACGATTCTCTGTAGCACACGTGCTGGCCCCACATGTTGCGTATTCACTTGTTTGACGTCTCTCTCCTCTCACTAGAATTGAAGTGCCGTGAGAACCAGGACATACCCCAGTGCCTGGGATCGTGCCCGCTGACCAAATATCTGTGGGATCGTGAAAGATGATGAATGGCCTGAGGGGGCCCTCAGGGGAACTTCCAAGAGCGGTCTTAATTCTAAGCATCCCTTGCCTTCGGTGCTGCCTTTGGGACTCACCACTTTGGAGTTAGAAGGTGCTGGGGTGACACTTCCTGGAAGGAGAATCCGAAAGCTTCTGATTTGTACCTCATTCCCTTTCTTACCCCAGGTGACTACAACACACACAATGGACCTTCCACGCCGGCCAAAGAGGGTGACACGGACAGGCCGCATCGGGCCTCTGATGGGAAGCTCCGAGGCCGGGCTAAAAGGAGCAGCGACCCCTCCCCAGCAGGGGACAACGAGATCGAGGTAATCCAAAGGGCCCGTGTTTGCTTGACTTGGTGAACAGAACCTCCGTCTGTGGCCCCAAAACAGGTGGGGAGGGGGACAGTATTTTCTCCTCCAAGTACGGGGTAGGGAAGAGCTCCCTTTGTGTCCCCGAAGCACCATAGCAGAGAAAAGAGCTCATGGGGTCAGAGTAGGGATGAGTAAGGTAGGCCACACACCAGTGCAGAACAATGGATCTCAGACTTGTGCACCGTCATAATCACCTGTGGGTGGGGAGAAAAACACGGATGTCTAGCCCCACCCCAAGGGTTTCCAACTTAGTAGATCTGGGGCAGGGCCAAGAATCTGCAAGCAAGGGCCCTGGTGATGCTGATGCTAGGTTAAGGACCACTCTCTGAGAGTCCCTCATAAAGAATATAGTGGGGCCTGGGCCTCCATTTGGGCCAGAATAGTTCCTAACACCGGCTACATATCAGAATCGCCCGGATGCTTTTTTTCTTTAGAGACAGAGTCTCACTCTGTCACCCAGGCTGGAGTGCAGTGTCATAATCATAGTTCACTTCAGCCTCAAACTCCTGGGCTTAAACCAACCTCCTATCTCAGCCTCCTGAATAGCTGGGACAGGCGAGCGTCACCATGCCTGCTAACTTTTTTTTAGAGATGGGGTCCTGCTATGTTGTCCAGGCTGGTTTTGAATTCCTGGCCTCAAGCAGTCTTCCCTCCTCAGCCTCCCAAAGTGCTAGGATTATAGGCATGAGCCACCCTACTCAGTCTCTAGGATGCACTTTAAAAAACAGATACCACCGGGCTCGGTGGCTCAGCCTGTAATCCCGTGCCTTTGGGAGGCTGAGGTGAGTGGATTGCCTGAGCCCGGGGGTTCGAAACCCGCCTGGGCAATGAGACCTCATCTCTACAATAAATCAAAAAATCAGCCGGGCGTGGTAGCGCGTGCCTGTAATTCCAGCTACTTGGAAGGCTGAGGCGGAAGGATCGCCGGAGCCCAGCAGGCGAGGCTGCGGTGGCCGGGAGCGGCCACTGCACTCCAGTCTGGGCAGCAGAGTGAGACTCCAACTCAAAAAAAAAAAAAAAACAGATACCAGGCTCTACCCTAGATGGACAGAAATGACTTGCTGGGGAGTAGGGCTGGAGGGTCATTTTAAAAGATCCCCCTGGTGACTCTAATCTGGTTTAAGATATTCATCTGCCTGGAGGCTGGCTCCCATGAATTTGCATGTATTTCTGTGACTCTGGGTTTCTCAGACAGCAGTTCTCAACCTGGACTGCACCTGATGACCATGTGGGGAGCTTTGAGAAGTTTCCATTGTCTCTTTTAAGTTTTAAGACAAAGTTTATTAGAGAAAGAAGAGAAAAAAGAAAGGGAAACATACCAGAGCTGACATGGGTGAAAGAAACCACCAAGAAGCTTCTAGTCTCAGCCGCACCTCAGACCCTTAAATCAGACAGACTCCTTGGGGGTGGGACCAGATAAAAGTATTTTGAAGCTCCTTGAGTGACTCCAGCGTCCAGCCCAGGCTGAGAACCAGTGGTCTAAGCCTTGTATTTTAACCATGTCTAAAACACCAGGATATTATGGGATGAACAGTAAAATGGTTAGATGGTGAAGCAGTTCGCCTGTCATCTCAAAGAGTTACTTGTTTTGTGACAAGAGCAGCTAAAGCCTACTTACTTAACACACGTCCCTGCTACAGTTCAATTTCATGAACTTGTGTCCTCACGTTGCACTTGAGCTCTGTAGACTCGTTCATCTGGTCTTTGTGATCATATAGCAACGTGTTGGCCAGGCACTGACATTTTGCTTAAAAACCAGGATGCACAGGTAGTGGTGGGAACAGTGGTAAAAAGGATGCCCAAAAAACAGAAATAAGCTCCCGTTACCTATCAGTGGGGGAGGGTGGCAGACTCCCCAGTTTGTGCTGCTTTGAGAATGGCAGTCATTTGATGGTGCAAGTATGCCATAGGCCCATGAGTCTCATCGGCAGCACGTGGGTCAGTGCCAGGCAATTCAAACACTTTGTCATCCCTGTACATGTTACGTGTTCATAACCCTGTACACGTTATGTAACAGCCACTAACTCAGATACACTAAGAAATATCATCCTCGTCATTTCCTTCAAAATCTATGTAATTTTGGCCAGGAGCAATAGTTCATGCCTGCAATCCCAGCACGTTGGGAGGATCATGTGAGCTCATGAGTTTGAGACCTGGGTAACAGAGAGAGATCCTCATCTCTACCAAAAAAAAAATAAAGTAGCCAAGCTTGATGGCATACACCTGTAATCCCAGCACTCTAGGAACCTGAGGCAAGAGGATAGCTTGAGCCCAGGAGTTGGAGGCTGCAGTGAGCTATGATCAAACCACTGCACTCCAGCCTGAGTGAATGGTGAAACCCTGTCTCAAAAAATAAAATGTGGCCAGGCGCGGTGGCTCATGCCTATAATCCCAGCACTTTGGAAGGCCGAGGTGAGAGAATTGCCTGAGCCCACGATTTTGAGACCAGCCTGGGCAACTTGGAAAGACCTTATCTCTACAATAAATAAATAAATAAAAATTAACTGGGTGTGGTGGCATGCACCTGTGGTTCCAGCTGCTTGGGAGACTGAGACGGGAAGGTTGCCTGAGTCCAGCAGGTCAAGGCTGCGGTGTCTGTGAGCATGCCACTGCACTCCAGCCTGGGCGACAGAGTGAGACTCTGACTCAAAAAATAATAATAAAATAAAATTTAATTTTAACTCTGAGTCCCCATCCACCAGGATGGTAGGAAATTTCATCTCATTATTGATGACCCTCCTTCTCCAGAATTACATGAGAATCCTGGGACCCAAGTGGTCTCAGAAAGCAGAAGAACCTCTGATGTCCAGTGTGGCTTGGTTGCCGCTGCCCTTCTTGTTGTCAAAGCCTCCAGTGGTCACCGAATGTCCAGCCACGCTCTGGCATTTCCATGCTGCCCCTTGGGCATGGAGATCCCAGTTAAACCTGAGAACCTTGGAGTAGTCCCTACAACCCTTTGGTTGCAAGCAACAGAAAGTTACTTAAGCAAATTTACTGGGAGAGAAGGAAATTTAGAGGAGGCCATAAAGCCATGTTTAGAAAGAAAGTGATGAAGACCGAGCTGAGGAATCCAGGAACCTTCAAGATGCTGACCCCCAGTGGCAAGCAAACCGTGTTAGAGTCTAGGGCCACATTCCTCAATGTCAGAGCCCAGGAAGACAGTTTCCCACCAGCCTGGCTTGGTCTTATGCGTGCCCCTTAATCGACAGCTCCACCAAGACAGCACACCGTGGAAAAGAAAACCCAATGCTCTTATCAGAAGGCCCCGGGATGGATGCAGAGCGGGATGGGGCGGTTCAGATAACAAATGCTGATTGCCTGGGCATCTGATTGAGCCAGCATTTGCCATTTCAGCTGTAGCCATGGTATATAGCTCGTGTCAGCTCTGATCATCCTGGAAGGTGCTAAATACAGTAAGTGCCCTACATACGAATGAGTTCCCTTCTGAGAGCACGTTCGTAAGTCCAATGTGTCCGTAAGTCCAGCAAAATTAGCCCAGGTACCCACCCTACCTAATCAGCGATATAGTACTGTAATAGGTTTATATGTAGTACTTTTCATACAAATAATACATGAAAAACAAACAAAAAAAGGAAAGCATTTTTAATCTTACAGCATAGCCCGTGACAATGTTTGCCAGACACGTGAACTAACTTAGGAGATTGGACATGTGAACGTACATTTGCATCTTTGAAAGTTCACAAGTTGAGGGTTCGTAGGTAGGGGACTTGCTGTATTGTGAACATCACGCTTGTCTCCCAGGCTTGGCCAGCCTCCTGAGGTCCACCAGCAGCCTCCATCCACCCTGGAGACCTGCCACAGACCAAGTGTTCCCACTGCTTCCGGGGCGTTCTTGGTCCAGGGGATGCTGATCTTGCCTTCCCTGTTATTCTTAAAGCCTCTTCCCTCCCCAAATCATGGGGGCTTTGTACAATCCCTTCAGTGGGTTTAGGCCTTTGCAAAAGGCTGGAAGGAAATTAATTGGCTTCGGGCTGTCCTTGCTGTCGGCCCTCCCACATTCCCAGGATTATTCCCAAGATTTCCTGTGAGCTTGAAGCTGCGGAGCCTCAGAAAACCACAGAGAGCAACACGTGTGCTAATATCCCCTGCCCCCTTCAGCCCCCTAAAATCACCCAGACACCTAATATGGATGGATGGTCCTGGCTCTTGGTGGAGGACAGTGGGGGCGGGGAGACATTTTTCCATTAAGGAAAGAGGCGAGGAGGGTTGTGGCATGGAAGTCGGGGATTATGGGGTGATATTATTCTGAAAACAGCTGCTTCTTGATTCCAGCATAAGTACCCCTGGGCACGAGCAGCTGAGAAGGTGTGAGCCGTGTTTCACTCCAGTACTTAGTGTCAGCAGAGAGGGCTTGCCTGGGTCGCACCTCTTAAGTTTCTGGCAGTGTTGCTAATCACGGAAGCCCACTTGAGAGGAATTATGTGGAAGTGGGAAGGAGGCAGGTTCTGAGCGTGTGTTAGTTAAAAATCCTTTGGCTGCAGGTGCCAGAAGCCAACTCCAACTAGCTGAGGCGAAAAAGTGGAATTTATTTATTTATTTTTATTTTTTGAGTCTGAGTCTCACTATGCTGCCCAGGCTGGAGTGCAGTGGCCACGCTCACGGCTACCGCAGCCTCGACCTGCTGGGTTCAGGCGATCCTTCCACTTCAGCCCTCCAAGTAGCGGGGACTCCAGGCGCGCACCACCACGCCCCGCTAATTTTTTTATTTATTGTAGAGATGAGGTCTCGCCAGGTTTTCCAGGCTGGTCTCAAACCCCTGGGCTCAGGCAATCCTCTCACTTCTACCTCTCAAAGTGCTGGGAAGACAGGCGTGAGCCACCATGCCCAGCTCAGAATTTATTTTAAGGATACAAGGACTGGCTTAGACCCCAAGGGCGGGGGCACAGCCGAGTCTCCATAGGGTGCTAGACCAGCCAGGGGCTTCCCACCTGCTCTTCCCACATGCCACAGTGAAGGTGCTAGAACCCCCAAACAAGAGTGGTTTTGCAATGCCTCCATGCACTGGTTACTGGACACAGCTTCGCTCCAAGCCTCCTCACTCCCCACCCCCTACTCCTAACCAAAACCAGGCCCTGGATGAGTGTTGAGTTCTTGGTATTTTTCCTCTCTGTTTTCTCTCTGCAGACTGCTGTCCTCTTCAGATTTCATGGCCCAGCTTGGTCACCCACAGCCCCCCAAAGACAATGAGTTTCTTTCTAGGCCCCAAATTTAAATTTAAAAAAGAAGATTTCTGACCCACCTGGGGCTAGGGGCCCACCATGGTGGCCTTAGGGAATAGGGTCACTTGCAGAACGGCCACCAAGAACTTACCCACTAAGCATTTAGGGTGGTGAGGTGGTTGGGGAGAGGGACAGATCTTCTTTTTTAGAGGGGATGTAAGGAATAAATTAAGGGACCTGCACTACATTTGAAAATATTCACCGATTTTTAAAAATTTTATTACTGAGATTTCTAAATTTAACTGATCCAAACAAGTTACTTCAGATTAGTTAGGACTTAAGTACATTTGAATCTCAGCAGGCCTTCTCAAAAACTCGATTTCAAACACTTTTGCCCTGACTCATGATAAGAGATGTACCTAATATTGTGACCCAGCACATATATACACATAAATATAATTGGACCACAAAATTCACCAAATAGTAGCCCTACTGGTTGCTTCAGAAAAATCCCTGTACTAGAGAACCTGAATGCTAATTTACCTTTTTTATTCTAGTTTCTTCTGTTTACTTTAAAAGGTATGGCAAATGCCATTGTGAAAATATGAGCCCCTTCGGGTCCCCTCCCACTGTGGGAGCTTTTCTGTCCTCAATAAATCCTGCTTTCTCAAAAAAAAAAAGAAAGAAAGAAAGAAAGAAAAAAGAAAATACAAAGAGACCCCCCCCAAAAAAACAGTTTTTGGAGGGTGAGCCTCTTGTAGTACAGACTTCTCCCATTAGGTTAAGTGTTCCAGGAACCCATCAGCATCAGTGTACCAGCTAGCGTTGTGAGAGGCTGTGTTCAGCTTCAGTTAACCTTTTTTTTTTTTTGGAGACTCTTTCAACACATTTGTCCACTTCATGATGGGTGATTTATGAACACACCTGCCCACACCGCGCTGAGTGTTCAGCAGTTTTGACCAAAAACAGCACGAGCCCTGTGTCTCACTCTCCCTATTCGCCCAGTCTTACCCCAAGCAACTTTTGTTTGCTTCCCCGGTGAAAAAAAGACCTCAAAAGGAAATCTTTTGCCGATGTGGAAGAAATGAAACAAAAAAAAATGATGGAAGCACTAAAAGGCATCAAAACTGATGAGTTCAAACACTGTTTTGAGCAGTAGAAAAGCATCTGGATAAGCATCTTGCATTCAACAGAGAGTACTTTGAAGGTGACTGGAGTTTAAACATGTAAGAATAAGTACACAAATTTTTATTAATAAATTCCAGGATTTTTTGGGTCCCCTCTCGTAGAGCCACTGACCTCCAGAGAGTTTTAAAAGGTGACCCATCCAAGATGGTAGACCGGGTAGGTGCGTTTACCTCCCTTCCTCAAAACCATCTGCAGAGATAAACCATCAGATCCTTTGTTCTTAAAAACAATGATCACCAGAAAAGTAAAGAAAGCCAACAGCATGAAAAAGAAAGGTCAAGATAAATAAATGGGATAAATGAGAAACAAATTAACTTAAGAAATAGAACTTGGAAAAATTCTGATTGGTTTTCTTATATTTGAATTATATGAAGGCACACATCAAGGAGATCATACATTCATAAAATAAGAAGTGGGGACTATCAGGAATGGAACACAGAGGGGGAAATGTTATTGGAAATTTTTAAATAGCTGCAAGAATCAAAAGTTTAATAAGGCAGTCAGGTGCAATGGTACATGCCTATAATTCCAGCTACCCAGGAGGCTGAGGCAGAAGGATTACCTGAGCCTGGGAGTTCGATTTCAGCCTGGGCCGCATAGCAAGATCATTTCTCTAAGAAAAGATTTGTTTAATTTAAAAACAAATAAATTGAATAGGGCTGGATGAGAAGGTTTAAGAAATCTCCCAGAACATTGATCAAAAAGACAAAACTATAGAAAATATAAATTAAAAGGAGAAACAATGTCAAACCAAAGGTTTAACTTGACTATTAGGGATTCCAGAAAGACAGAACAATAGAAAAGATAAGAGAAAATTGATTAAAGAAATAAGAAAATAAAAAAATTCAGAGCAGTAGAAAAATGGGAATCATTGGGTTGAAATGTACAAGTGCTGAGCAGTATGAGTAATTTTAAAAAGGTCATACCTAGATATATATCCTCATGGAATTTGAGAATACCAAGTAGAACAAAAAAAGATCCTTAAAGATTCTAAAGAGAAAAAAAAAGTAAAACCTACAAGAATTGAGGGTTAGTGAAACCTCAAATTTCTCATCAATGATCCTGAACACTAAAAATAATGATGAATGAATTATTTTAAGATCTAGAGGACATTGTTTTCAACTTGGAATTTTGCACCCAGAGAAACTATAGAGGAAAATAAAGGTATCATCAGATATGCAAGAATTCAGGAAGGTTACTTTCCATGGACCCTCTCAGAAAAAGCAACTTAAGGATGTACTCAAGCAAAGCAAGGAAGAAAACCAAGAAAGTGAAAGTCTTGGAATCCAGAAAATGGTGGATCAAACCCAGAAATGCACTGAAGGGAAGTCTCTGAATGCTAGCTCTGTAGCAAGTCTAAAAAGGATCCAGTTCACAATGGAGCATTCTGTCACTGAAGATGGATATCTCTGATAGAGCATGTGACTGAATTTGAATTATATGAAGGCACATTCCAATGAAGGCACATTATTGAAAACAAGAAAAAAATAAATGCAATTGATAACTTCCAACAAAAACAAAAAGTTATACCACACAGGTATGATACATATATGAACAAACTGAGATATAGTATGGTTTTAATCAGTGTGGAGTACAAGTAAAGAGAATCTATATGACCGTGATGGTAGGAGCAGTCTCCTTAAGTGGATCTGGAGTTATGACATTGGACATATACAGAAGGAAGTGCAATCTTGGTACATTATTTGGTTTCGCAGTGAACAGAAATCACAAGATGCAAATGCCCTTTTACTAGTTACCAACTTTTAAATTAGCATAGGACAGGTGTGCACTACCATGCCCAGCTAATTTTTTTATTTTTTGTAGAAGCTAGGTCTTGCTATATTGCCCATGCTTGTCTCAAACTCCTGGACTCAAGCAGTCCTTCCGCCTCAGCCTCTCAAAGTGCTGGGATTGCAGTCATGAGCCACCATGCCCAGCTAATTTTTAAATTCTTCTGTAGAGATGACGTCTTGCTATATTGCCCAGGATGGTCTTGAACTCCTGGACTCAAGTAATCTTGCCTCGGCCTCCCACAGTGCTAGAATTGGTGTTGTGAGCTACTATGCCAGGCACACTCACAGAATTTTTTAAACATTTTTTCAACTTATGTAATATGTGTAACAGGGTGATTTATAAAACAGTAAAGCATAAAAAAATGGAATCTTTCTGATCAAGCAACTAGGATCTAGATACAACAGTGATTTAATATCTACCATCTCAGGATGGATGAAATTTCCTGTACTATAAGAAAGTGTCAACATTTTAAAATAAAACTGTTAATTGTTAAAAAAATAAAATAAAACTAAATTAACGAAGACCAGAGCACAGAAAGCTTAATTATAGTTATAAAACCAACTATACACAAACCCGTTTATCCACATTGACAATAAGAAAATAAAGCTAAAGCTGATAGATATTAGAGCAGGGAGGAAGTAGGGACAGGTGGGGGCTCCAGTAACCATCTTCGTTGTTGGATTTACTGTTTTTGCCAAGGGAGAATATCCACAGTTGATTAAATTAAAATAGAGGGATTCACAGATGTGAAAAAAGTGAGGCTCCAAAGAAATGAGGGAGATTATCATGTGCGAAGCCCTTATCTTTCAGAACAACCAGTCAAAAGATGTTGTCTAAAATCTGCAAGTCAAGACCCAAAGGTATAAACGTGTTATTCAGAATTCTGGAGGTAATCACCAGACTCGCTAAACGCAGAAATGGTTAGAAATGGTTGGACTTAGGGTGAACAGTGAATTAAAGTGGCAGTATTTCACTTTGTCAAGTGAGTTGTGTGGTTTTTATTGTTGGTTTTGGCCTGAATCCCTTTTTTGGAGTTTTTACGTGGAAGGCAAGAACGGGCTTCTTGGTTCTGGCATTTTGGGGGTTGAGAGGAGCCCCACAATTGGCCGTCAGAATACACTTGGCACAGGGGAGGTTGGATGGGGCTTCATGAAGCATCCCTGAGCTGCATGTTTTATAACTTAAAGACAGTGTTTTTCAAGACTTCTTTTGCTCCAAGGGAATTAATTTCTGCAGACGTTAAGTCAGATACAAGCGAGTCCATTTGTCTCCATTCTCTTCCTCTCTCTCATCACAGCGTGTGTTCGTGTGGGACTTGGATGAGACAATAATTATTTTTCACTCCTTACTCACGGGGACTTTTGCATCCAGATACGGGAAGGTAAGAATCCGTTTTGTCTCTCTTTTTCTTTTTTTCAGCATGGCTGTCTGTCCTGCCTGCTCGTCCTGGGAATTGTGGGGGCAGTTTATGAGGCGGCGTCTCCAACAAAGCTGCCCGTTTGGGCCAGCCCAGGTTTAAAAATTCCTACGGAATTTTCCTTGGACATGTGAAAATTTAATTAGCTTCCCCGCTATTGTCTCCCATGCCTGTGCTTCCAACATTGGAAGTAATCAACATTTACTTGATAGGATTTAAGCTCGTTCTCTTCAGCTGTGTCTTTCCTAACAGAGCAGGATGTAGCCAAAACCAGTAATTCTGGAAAACGAGGTAAAGTCCTTTTCTTCTTCTCTGTTGTTTAGCCTGGTGTCTCCGGCAGATGAATTTAATTTTCCTTCCTTTTTTATTTTTTGAGACAAGGAAGGGGACATTGTCAGCTCCGGCGTGCATCTTAGCAACAGTTTTGCAAATGTGTCATCGACAAATTATGTCCAGCAACCATGTAGCTAGAATTCTGGGCAAATGCTTTCAGCTGATTGGTGGTGACTGCAAAAGAGGTTGAAACCACTCTAATAATGCCAGAATGGACCCAACTGCGGAAACCCAGCCCTTGCCAATTCTTTGCATTCCTCCCACGAGCTACAGAACAGACCACCAGTGGATACCCCAGGCATCTGCCACGAGGGACACATGGGGGCGGAGGGGCAGTGCTTAGGAGGACAACCTCGTTGCCATCTCCTCAGAGGTGCGTGACCCATGGCAGCGGCTTCCACACCTAGGTAGGAAGCTCGCCCACGCCTGGAAACTATTTCTGTTTCTGTTTAGAGACCAGGAATATGATTTGACATCACCTCATGGCTTTTCCAGCTGCTTGTGCTTTTTATGGGGATTGTAACAAGCTGAATGTGTAATTAGCAAGATAGATTTATTGTCTGCCATTATGCTGTAAAGAATATAAAAATGGTGTTGGTGGTGCAGAAATCTCTTGCCATGTGGGAAGGCCGCTGATACATCTAGCAGTGCCTGTGGGAAACCCAGCGCCGTCTCGGATTGTGCTGAGCTTCGGTGAAGGATGGCGGTGAAGGATGGGCAAGAACTCGGCCCATCCCCAAGGGGTTATGGTAGTGAGTTGCCCACTAAGTCAGGGGCCGTGCTTTTCCTAACGGCTCTGGTAAAGTCACCTGCCCTGGACATGTTTCCTTACTCGTCTATGTGACGTTCCATAGCTCCCTGCAACAACTCACTTCTTCAGGATTGTGTAGGGCCTTGTGATCTTGGGGGCGATTTCTGTGTCTGGGTCTCACCATGGAATTGTGGGCTCCCTCAAGACAGGGACAAAGCCCTGTGTTCCCTGGCCTGCGTGTCATCCCTCTTTGCCAGCCGCCTTTCTCCAGCCCCACAGTCAGATCCCAGCCCCCTTGGCCTCCAGTTCAGCTTCCTGTGTGGCCTCCTAGCTTCCACTTCTGCCCCTTCCAACCTCAACAGAGGAGTCATCCTAAAACACCAGCTTGGTCACATCACTCCCCTGCCGAGAAGCTGTCAGTGACATCCCCACTGACAAGCCTCACCCCACCCTCACCTTCCAGGGTCGCCATGATCTGACTCCCACCCCATTCGACAGCCTCCTTCCCTGTATGTTCCCTGAGTTGCTTTCTGGCCTTGAACCTGTCACACTCTCTCCCTTCTCTGCCACCTTCTCCCAGAAGAAGATCCCGAAACAAGGAGTGAGCATGAGTAGTTTATCTGGAGGATGATTCTAGGAAACACTGGGTACAGAGGGGGAAGTTGAGGCAGGGAAGGAAGCAAATGCAGGTTGTGTGAATAGTTACTGCTGGCCAGGCACAGTGGCTCACACCTGTAATCCCAGCACTTTGGGAGGATCGCTTGAGCCCAGGAGTTCAAGATCAGCGTGGACAACATGGCAAGATCTCATTTGCACAAAAAATAAAAAAATTACCTGGGCATGGTGGTGCGCACCTGTAATCCCAGCTATTCAGGAGGCTGAAGTGGAAGGATGAACCCAAGTGATCGAGGCTGTAGTGAGCCATGATTGTGCCACTGCACTCCATCCTGGGTGACAGAGTGAGACCCCAATTCAAAAATAAAATAAAATAAAAATAGTTACTGCTGTGCATGGCTAGGACTCAGTCCCACCCAGGACCTCTGAGAGGCTGTGGAGGGCACACCTCAGAGCTGACCTACCCAAGGAGCTGACCTACCCAAGGAGGATATTTACCAACAAATTCCTTTCCATCAAGGGTTGAAGGATTATTCTTGGTGGTATATCCCGGCACTTCTGATCTGCCCTCTAGAAAGCCCCAGGAGCTGGTAATCCCAATGTTTTAGGATGTTTGAGGTGGGAGGATCAATTGGGGTCAGGAGTTTGAAGCTGCAGTGAGCTAAGATCTCGCCACTGCACTCCAGCCTGGGCATCAGAGCCAGACTCTGTCTCTAAAAGTAGAAAGCTTAACCACAGAAGGCATATCAGAGAGTGATGACAGCTGAGGGGACATGCAGGCGGGACACACTGGAAGCCTTGGTTGTAATTCAGAATGTTCTTCCACTGAGTTAACTCCTGCTTACCTTCCATCTCTCATTTTAAATTTAGCTTCCTAAATTTCCTCACTCCTCCCACCTAGGTTGCATCTCTCCTCATTACTGTATTTTTCACTTAGATGACAATTACATACCTACTGTCTGTCTCCCTTCTCGACTCTAAGCATCATCCAGGTGGAGACTGTGAACATCACCTACCCAACCAAGCACAGGGCAGAATGGCTTTGTAAATATTTGTTGAATGAATGATTCAGGACAGTCCTCTAGAGTGTTCCACTGCACGAGGACAGGGACTTTTTGTTTTGTTCTGTTGTTGCTGAATCCCCAGTGCACGGAACAGCATCTCGCATTTGGTAGGTGTCAAGTAAATATTTGTTAAATGAAGGAAAGAAAACAGTATCAAAACAGAAAGCCCTAACTGGTGGCCACTGGCCAAATTCAGCCTGCAGATATTTTGTTTGGCCCCCAGAGTGTTTGGGAAAATGTGAATTTGTGGCCAATATTTTGAAAATCAGGAGATTGCACAGACCAAAACAATCTCGATGTCCAGTTCTTCCTGAACAGCGAGGAACCCGGCAGCCCTGCGCTCCCATGTGGCGGCAATCAACAGATGCCGAGTGGCACTGCCTGCTCAGGGCGGACACATCCTGTGGCCTGTCCAGCCCCTACTGGGCCCATTTAACCCAGTCCCATTGAGGGGACCCTCCAGCCCACCTGAATGTCCACATCTGTCCTAGAGCTGCAGAACCATAGAAAGTCGGAGCTGGAGGGACTTGAGGGATCATCATGTCCAATCAGTCTCCATCATACATAAAGAGAAACTGAGGCTCAGGGTGAGTGAGAGCATCCAAGAGAGAATGAGAGCTGGACTCAGACTAACCTGTCTTCCTGCATCATCCCTGGACATTCAGGGAAAGCAGGTAAAAAGCTCCTGGGACCCCCAGGTCCCCTGTGCCGTCTTCATTACTCTTCTAGAATGTTCTCTTCCCTCCTCCAGCTCTAAGGTGAGGAATGAGTCTTTTTATTTGGTAAATGCAATGACCCTAAGAGAACCCAAAAATAACTGACTTAAACAAGATACATGCTTATTTTGTTCCTATAACAGTCAGGATGTAAGTGGTCCAAGCTGAGGAGACCACACACGGCACCAGAGACAGAAGCCCCTTCAGCCCCCTGTCCACAGACCCAGTGAGATCCTCTATGGCAGGATAAAGACTAGCTCACCCCATGTCTGCATTCTAGCCAGTAAGAAAGGGGGATTCACCCCCTCCCTTTTCATTTTATTTTTTGTCCCTCTCCTTTTTTGCTTTTAATTTTTTTTAAGAGATAAGGTCTTGCTCAGTCTCTGTCCAGCCTGGAGTGCTGTGGTGTAATTACAATTCCCTGCCACTTGGAAATCCTGGGTTCAAGTGATCCACCCGTTTCAACTTTCCTAGTAGCTGGGACTACTGGCACATACCACTATGCCCAGCTAGAGATGGGAATCTCACTGTGTTGCCCAGGCTGGTCTCTAACTGTTAGCCTCAAGTGATCCCTCTGCTATGACCTTCTGGAGTGCTGGGATTCCAGGTGTAAGCCGCCACTCTCTTTCTTTAAAGACCAGACTCCAAAGTCCCATGTATCACTTCTGCTCACATTCCATTGGCTAGAACTTGGTCAAATGAACTATATCTAGCTGCAAGGGAGTCTGTGAAGTATAGTCTTTATTTTAAGCAGTCACGTGCCCAATTAAAATTTAGAGATTCTATGACTCTCAGAGGGAGAAAGAGAAAAATGGAGATTGGAAGACAACTACCTATTTCTAGACCAAAGTGTCATATGGTAAAAGAAAGAGCAGTGAAATAGAAAAACGATGAGGAAAAACAAAATTTGTTCTGTTTGAGAGGCCGAGGAGACAACTAGATTTGCGGGTCTGAGCTCCAGAGAGAGGTCTGGGCTACAGCTCTAGATTTGGAAGACAGAGAAGCAGCAAGACACCAGAGGAGCAGAAGTGTGCATCCCATTTTGCAGACAGAATAACTGAGGCCCAGGGCAGTTGTGTCATTGGTGGGACATTCATAACAACCAAAACTCATAGTCTTAGCTTCTGGCTCACAGATCTTTGTCTCTATACTTCCGCAGCAGCTGCAACCATGTGAAACTCATTCTTAATAGTTGATATCAAGCAAGACTCAGTTTGAAGCACAGAGTATATAAGCTACAAAGAAAATCTAGGGGTATCACAAAAAAGTTGAAAAACCCAGGGACACTGGGATTCAGGTCTGGCTGGATCCAGAAGCTTAAGCAATGTTTTCAGGTCATTCTGCATCCCTCAGTCAACTTTCTTTATGTGGTGACTCCCTCCCAGCGATCCCAACTAAAAATTGGAACCTTCTACTTCCCGACTTCCAACACACTCCCAGGCTCGAATCTCATTGGCCCAAACTGGGTCACATGCCTGTCTGTAC